AGGGGAACAATTACTGTCAAATTACTTTTTTAATCAGGAAAAAGAGGAATGAGAACATGTGAAAGCAGAAGTCCTGCAGACACAAAGACTAGCAGAGAAAGAGGAAGAAGAGGTGCTTCAGGCAGTGAAACAGAAATTCCCCTGCAGCCTGTGGTGCAGATCACAATAAGACAGGCTGTGGTCTGCAGCCCATGGAGGTCTATGATGAAGTAGAGACTCACCTGCAGCCTATAGATGTCCCCATGCTGCAGCAGGTAGATGCACCTGGCAGGAAGGAGGCTGTGACTATGTGGGAATCCTATGCTGGAGGAGGCTTCTGGGAAGACCTGTGGCAAGAGGAATTTGTGCTGGAACAGGTTTGCTGGCAGGATTTGTAAGCCCATGGGGTATCCATGATGAAGAAGTTCATGAAGATTTGCATCCTGTGGGAAAAGACCTCATGCTGGAAGTGAAGTGTGTGAGGAGTCCCTGCCTGGTGGAGGAAGGTGTGGTAGAGACAATTTCTGATGAACTGATGCAGCCCCCATTTCTCATCTCCCTGCACTACTGCAGAGAAGGAGGAAGAGAAAATTGTGAAGTTCAGCTGGAGAAGAATGAAGGTGTGGGGAGAAGGGACTTTTAAGATTTGGGTTTATTTCTCCTTATCCTGTACTGATTTGATGGATAAAAAACTAAAGTAATTTCTCCTGAGTCATGCCCATGGCAGTAATTGATGGGTAATCTTTCCCTGTCCTTATCTTAACTCATCTTTCCTTATCTTTTCTCTCCCCTGCCCAGCTGAGGAGCTGTGAGAGACTGCAAAGATATTTCAAGGCATTTTGGGAGGCACATGTGTGGATCTGAGCTCTAGTGCATACCCCATCCCTAGAGCCAGGAGCCCCACAGCAGCTGCCAATCCCTGGCACACCAGAGGCAATTCTCTGCACCCCACCCCTAGAACCCCAGTCCAGATCCTGAGTTGCCAAATGACCAGAAATCCTACCTGAAGGAAGGGCCCAGAAAACTCAAGGGTTATTTAAGGCCAAACACAAGGCAATTAGATGTCTTCAACTTATCTTCTTTTGGAATCTCTATCTGAAAACTGCTAAACAGGAGTTAGTAGGTCTGTGTGTGCTTTTCCATGTCTTTTCTGTCTGACTTTCTTTCTCTTTCTTCTTTTATAATCCTCACTTGTCATTTTTAACACAAATTTGAATGGTCTTATAGTTTGCTAAGTTAAATGGGCCAAGTATTAATTTGGCCTTGAGAAGTGTTTGTCGTTGATTGAATGTGGCATTAAATTTTGCCAGAATTCTCTGATTTTCTAAAGTTGCCAGTAAAGTTATTTTTGTAGTTTTGACTTCTTCAGAGTATCTTCTTGATATTTCTCCTTTGCATCTTGTTGCGGTTTATGTTTATTTTATTAAGTTATTGCTAAATTGTCTGTTCTGTTCTCCTCCATGTTTTCCCCAAGGTGGTGTCTTCCTAATTTGTGACCTCCCTTCCACCGCTGTCCCTCAAGGTTGCAGGATTTGTAATTTTCTCTTGCTCCCCCAACATTCTCCCTTCCCCCTCCCCCGGTGGTCCCTTGTCCCGACCTTTTGTTCCCTTATCACTCCCCCTCGTCACGCGGTCCAGTCCCTGCCCCCTCCCCCTGCCTTTCCCATCGCGGTCTCGAGGGTTTCCCTGCCCCTGTCCCCTGCCTCCCATCCTATTGGCTGTGGCTCAGGTTCCCCACCCCACCCCCGTCACAGGGTATAACCGATCCTCGGTTGGTGCCCCGGTGTCTCGGGAACACGCTTCTACAATAAACACATGTTTGCACCCGAGCCCTGTGTTGCCATTTCGTCTGTTCCCGCTCTGTAACTGAGCCTCGCAGAGCCAAAGGGGAAAAGCGGCCGCTGCCTCTCCCCTCCTCCCGCCGTGCCCACAGGCGCCCGTCCAGAGCCAGTCTCGCACGGCAACAAATGGTAGCAGAGGATGGTTTTTCCATCGATTTGTGAAAGGGGGGAGAGAGAAAGGAACTCTGCCGCCATAAGAGGTCTGTTCACACTAAGAGGAGTGGATCCACTGGGCAGAAAACAAACTCGAAGCTCCGGGGACCCTCTTCCGTCCTCACTGGCGTGCCCTCTCTCCCGCCTGGGAGCAGCCACGCTGCGGGGGCAGCCGGACTGCAGGGGCCAGGAGCCAGGTAGACTTACCCGAGGACAAAGAGGACAGTTTGGCAGTGGCTCGATGGACTGAGTTCGAAGATTGGCCCGTCAGGGGACGGCATTTGAATGGAGACCTGAGGCTGACAGTGGCCAAAACCAAAGTTTCAGGGGAGAGCTCTGGTTAACGGGAACACCCAGGCTTCTGGGAGAGACAAACCGCGAAAGAATATGTCCTCAGTTCAGCACAATTTTCCACCACCGAGGAGAGAGATAGAGATTTCACCATCCGAGCCCGGAGGGTAAGTTGGGTCAGAGCAGGGTGGGAACCCTGGCGGGCGGCTGGGCTACCTTTTTTTCTTTTCTGAGTTTTAACCACCGTCCGCGTCCAGATGGGGACTGCAGCCTTGCATGTCCCTGGCGGCCGGGAGGCTTTTCCTTTTCAGAGGAGGACGCAACTTCGCTCAGTCTTTTCTGGAGTAACTCATACTGGAAAGCTCCTTCTCTTTCTCGGAAAGCTGCCTTTTCTACCCTCTCCTCCTTATTCTGGGCTATGGGGGCAGGGGGGGTCAAAAGGACACCAATGGGACAGAATTGTAAACGGCGACACGTCAGCTATGGGTAAAGTGTTAACATCTTAAGAGAGGCCCTCCACGTCCACGCATTTCGTCGGCTTCCAGCCGCGTCGGGCCCCTCTCCTGTGGATTTCCCCCTCGGCTTCTGCGAAGCCCCCCCTTCCCTTTTCCCAAAGACTTCCCCAAACCTTCTCCCTTGGGGATGGCAGCGGCTGAGCCGCCCCAAGCGCCCTGCCGGACACTATTATCCTCCCTTAGGAGTGGCATTGGCCGTGCCTCCCCGGGTGAGATGCAGTGCACCCAGCACCCCCTCCCAAGATGGCACTGGCCATGCTACAGGGACCCCATTTTCCCGCCTTGACCCTTCTCTTCTGCCCACGTTTTCCCGGAAGTCCCACCCCTCCCCCAATGGCCCTGCACCATCCTGCAGCGAGCCAGCCCTTATTGGAGGGGAGGTGAGGTTGGATTAATCCCTCAGTCCTTCTTCTGCCCCCCCACCCCCCGATGGGAGGGATTGCCGGAGGGGCCCTTCCGTTAGAGGACCTCCCTTTGTAAGAGAGTTTTCCCCTTTGCTGTGGGGGGGTCCCCCTTCTAAGGGAGTGGAGCTGGAAACCTGTACCAAGGCTCCACTGTTTTCCTTCCCCTGAAACAGTGGCGCCCAGGTTCATCCCTATATCCCATCTCCTAAATGTACCTTGCCCAAAATCCCCTTTTTATTTAAATACAAATTTTCCCCATTGCTTGTGATAATTTGGAAATAACTTCTTGGATTGAGTTATATCTTATAGAAGGAAAGATCATCTTCTCTAATTACTGCCCACAATGCTATGTCAACTTCTCAATCAAATAATCAAATTGGAGAAACCGCATCACTGTTCACTGCCTGCTTCTGCTCTGCTAGAATTTGGAAACCACAAGCATTGCGTCATGAATCCTGCTTTCATCCTCGATACAGAATGTGTTTGTGATAATTTTGTACCCTTTATCTTAAATTGTAATGTGGAAAAGATTTTTGCCCCATTCATTGTAACTATGATTGGTGTATCACTTTCTAATGTCTCTCGAATTTGTAACATTGCTAATTTGTTTTTACCTCAGAACTCCCTTTCCTTTATGTAACTTCTAAAGAGTGAGCTGCGGGATTTGTAATTTTCTCTTCTTACCCCCCATTCTCCCTTCTCCCTCCCCCCGCGGTCCCTTGTCCCGACCCTTTGTTCCCTTATCATTCCCCCTCGTCACGTGGTCCGGTCCCTGCCCCCTCCCCCCGCCTTTCCCATCGCGGTCTTGAGGGTTTCCCTGCCCCTGGCCCCTGCCTCCTGTCCTATTGGCTGTGGCTCAGGTTTTTCCCCCGCCCCCGTCACGGGGTATAACCAACCCTTGGTTGGGGCCCTGGTGTCTCAGGAACACACTTCTACAATAAACACGTGTTTGCACCCGAGCCCCGTGTCGCCATTTTGTCAGTTCCCACACTAGAACTGAGACTCGCAGAGCTGAAGGGGAAAGTGACCGCCCCCTCTCCCCTCCTCCCGCCGTGCCCGCAGGCGCCTGCCCGGAGCCAGTCTCACACGGCAACAAAGGTATCCCCTCCCCTTGTTCCAGACCCTTCCCTGCCTGTCAAGGCAGCCCTGCCCCTTGTTCTGGAAAGTTTCCTGTCATTCATCCCCTAAACCAATTCCTAACTGAGTTCTCTCTTCTACCTTTGTCCTGGTTGGTGTCTGCCCCTGAACTCCATCTCAAATATGACCCCATTGGCTGTCCTGTTGTATTCCACTCCTGTTTTGTGATGCTTTATAATCCCATGCACAGGGGTGCTTGGGCTTCTCTATGTGTCCTGACCTCTTCAGCTTCAATAAGCCAGTTGGAACTTCAAGACCTGGAAAGTCTCCTCTGCCTTCTTTATGCAGTCCCTGCCTTGCTGCCTTGGAGCATTGCTTCTTGGGTTAGAGCTGCAACAGCTCCAAGGTTCTGCCCATGGCTTTATCCCAGCCAGGGAAGTTCCCTGCTCTCGTCACTGCTCTGGAACATCAGAGAGGTGGCCTGGGCTCCAGTAGGTAGTGGCAGCATCTAACTCAGAATTTACATGAACATCCATAAGTAATTTTAAAAGTCTCATTGAACAAGCTTTACAGCAGTAAAGATGGTAAGAGTGACTTTGGTGGGTACCTGGCATCCAGTAAAGATGTGTTCAAGGGCCACTAACGCACCTGGGTCCTAGAGTCGCCGCGGATAGCTGCCGAATCCGAACCGCAGGTGCGTCAGTGGTTGGAGAAAATAACAGGCTTCCACAGAGGCGGGTGTCTCCCGGACAGCTTTATTTCCAAGGGTTCATAGGAGGGAAAACGAGGCAGGGGACGAGGGGAACAACCACTCAGAAGGGCAGCCAGGTCCGAGAGCCCCGAACCAGGGGCGGGGCAGAGATTATAACTATAACTGGGTAGGAGGGTCAGGGTACAAAACATCCAACTAGGTGAGGGCTTGAGGGCAGAGTCAGGGAAGAGCGACAGGGCAACAGCCAACTGGGATGGAGGGAAGGGATGGCTTCGAGGGGAGAACCAACGGGGGTGCAGAGAACTAAGAACTTTCCAGAACTGGGGGAAGGAATACACAATGATGGACAGGAACAAAGGGAAGGGATAACAAAAGACTGACAACCGGGTGAGGCGGGAAACTAAATGTCAGTTGCCTCCCAAGGCAGAGCAGGGGGGCCATCAGCCACACCCCCTCCCACAGGCCACATTGAACACAGACGTGTTCTCTTCTGCAAAGATATGGGCAGAGCTAAATGTTGTTTGATACCCAGAGATTCCTAATTTAGTTTGCTTTTGATGTGACCTAATAAAATATCTATGCTTGCATCTGTAGCCTGTACCAAATATATATTTTTAAATGTATACTGAATAAATAGGTATAAGCTCCTTCTCCTAATAGTCAGAGGAGTGTAATTTAGTGCTCTGAATATAATTTATGAAGAGGTTCTCCAGCTGAGATTAATAGGTGTAGTGTTAGCTATATAAGACAAAGACATGTATCATGAGCTAACTATCCTTACACACATTTTTGTCTAAAGGTTTATGAGTTCATTTAGACTTACACCATGTATTATTTCACATTTTTTTCTCTTAACTCTTTCTCTTAGATTGTAAATCCTATCTTTAATTTGGAGGATGAGAGTAGGATGTGATGTTTTAAATGTGAAAAAATAAAAACTAGAGAAGCTGACACTGAAGTGTCCCTCTGTCTTCACTTTTTGCAAGGAGTGAAGCCCATTGGTAGATGCCATCTAGTACTAATATAAATCTGTATTTGAACATACCTTATGAGACCTATAACTGGCAGTCTTGCCTACACATTTACTCCTTACAATGTATTTTTCTAATTATTACCCTACTCAATCTTTTTTTCATGCATCAATTTTATTCCACTACATTTGAACTAGTATAGGATTATGATTTTTCACTCATCATGTGAGATCCTATTTGAATTGAGCTGGAAATCAGTTCAGACACCCATGAATAATATGCCTAAACTCATTTAGAAAACCCTGAAAACTCACTGACTTTTTCCTGCTAAAAGACAAGAATGAAGCTTCCAGTGCTAGTTCATTTTATGCAGTTGTTTAACCTGGAAATGAAAGCAGCTACAAAATAGGTAATTTTGCATTTTTAGCCAAAACAAAATAACATGTCTTGGCTCGTTTTCTTTTTGTTCTTGGAAATTATTCTGTCATTCCTCTCTTCCTAGCCTAAATACTTTAGAAAGCTCTTGAATAATTTGAAGAGAAGTTTTTATAGTTCTTTAGCTCTTTTAGTATTTGTTGACCTCACCAAATACTGAAGCATAGGGATCTGTCATGCTGAACCCCACCTATAGATAAGGTTCAGACAGGTGCAGAAAGTAGGACACAGTGACTATGTGGATGATTATTATTAGATTTATTGCTAAAACAGAATCTAAATGTTGTCAATTCAGTATCTAACTATTATGTCTATTGTTAGTTATGTGTTATAGTAACATTAGGACATAGTCTCTCCTGTTGAGTCACAAACTTCAGTAAGACCCCCTTGTTCTCTAAACTTCTGAGAAGCCTAGCTGTGCCTGGGTTCACATAGTCTAAGACTTCCTCAACAATCTGTGTCTCAAGGATTATAATGCAAGCAGGTTCATCTGGAAGCATACAAGTTTACATTATTTGGCTCTGCAGACTTTATAATTACAAAGGAAGTAAAAAAGCACCCTTGGAGCTACTTAAGCATTTTATCTCCATATTTGACTGGGTCTTAACACGTTTTACTCACCTATGCAAAAGTGACTAAAGTTCTCTATTTGGACTGGATGTACACTGCAGGTGTCCTCATCAGGGTGGATATTCACTCAGAAAGTATCTGCATTCTCTGAGAGATGGATTTTCACTGTTGACTCGATGTCCACTAGACTTTTATACCCCTTTGCAGGTTTATGTGCAACAAAGTAAATTGAAAACTCCTCAGCTTCTTATCTCTGGAATGCAGTAATTGTGTAAACATCTGCATGGTTCCTCCAGCAATACCAGCCTGATGTTTCTGTCCTAGCACAAACCACATTGCCTATCAGAGACTGTTGGAGTGGGGAGAGGGACCAGACACAAACACAGACCCTACTATCTTTTATGACCCTCATAAGTGCATAGTGAGAGTGATAAGACAGGTGAAGTGCAATGACAATATGATACAGAAGAACTAATATTCAGTCATAGTGAAAACTCTGTGAATATATTAAAGAGGAAAGCTCACATGGAAGTGTTTGTAAAACAACTAGCTTTATGAAGCTTGCTGGATAAAGGTTTACAAAAGTTTGAAGAAAAAATTAGAAGTTCTTGTAGGGGTCTTTTTCACAGTGTTTATCTAACTCTTAATATAATAAAATCTGTTCAACACAAGCTGTTGGTTTTGAAATTAGACCCACAACTTTCTGATGGCAATTTCTTTTTATGTATGTGATGCTATGGCAGTCTTTTATGAATCTTCTCATACAGAGCTGATTGTGTTTTCTGCTAATACCTCAGTTCTGGTATTATTTAATATTTTTACATAGTAGTTAATATTTTTAGTAGAAAACATCCCTGCTGCTCTCGTGGCATTAGAGCATAATTAGTTTTCATTAAACTAGACAAGAGATTTTGACAGATTTCAAATGTACAACATATGCGAAGCTGCTTCACAGTCAATTCACAACTATTCTTGTTGATTAGAAAGATATGAGAAATCTTATAGCAGATTTTCCATAGATATGTACTTGAAACACTGTGTACCCACATCCAAGGTTCCTGAGGTCCCTTCAAACTAATATGACTTTTTTGCCAAAAAGACAAGATTGTCAGACTAAGGTTTGGCAGTGTTTATACTGAAAACAATAAAAAACTGCTGAGATTTTTAAAAATATGAAATCTGAAATTTCAGCCATCTTTTCAAAATTTTAAACAAAAAACATGAAATTTTTATTTTTTTTACCAAGCTTAACTTCTAATTCTTGAAAAGGACATAGTATTATCTTTCCTGGTGATCAAATGAATTTTTATCTATTCACCACTGAGCTGCTGTACTTTGCTCTGAAAGATCTGCTATTTATTAATATTTGAAAAAGGACATAAAAATTAAAAGGTCTGCTATAATAACCCCTGCATTTCCTCATGTGTATTGAGTGACAGAGCAAGTTAAGCTTGAATATGTGTGAGAATGTCCTTGATAGTTGCTCACTTTTATCCTGTGTAGAGTCTTCACATCCTTTGTACTCCTTTTGTAGGCTGCTTAGAGGTAGGCAAACTGGATCTCAGCCATGAATGTTCACACAAATATGTGTCTACTGAAACAGCTAAAGAAAGAAATAAAAAAGAAGTTAAAAAATATTTGCGGCTTTTGGGGGTCACTTGCGGCTGTCCCCCGTCCCTCCCCGGCCCCCCCGGGACCCCTCCGGCTAGCTGTCCCCTCAGGGAACCGGGGTTTGCCGCGGTCCCGCTGCACTGGGCTCACCAGGCAGCGGCCGGGTTAGCACGGTCCGAGCGGCGGCGCGCCTCGGTCGCCACAAGGATTCGGGATAAAGAGACTAAGAGAGGTCAATTGTGTGCAGTCCAGAGAGATTGTATTGCCTGAACAGTTGCAGGGACAAAAGACCCTGGGCTACTGCTACTGCCCAGATGCAGTTTTATACAGCAAAATTGAAGAGATAAGGTCTAAACAATAGAGACAGTGTTCAGCATGGGCTCATTAGAACCACCCCAGGGGTCAGGTCCAATGGGAACTGCTCAGGCGTGGGGAAAAAGGGGTTTACAGAAAAATGCCGAAGCTAAACTTTTCCGAAACAATGGAGCATACATAAATGTATCTTTTCCTCAGTTTCCCATTCCCAAGGCCTTTCTAAAACCCTTTCTCCACACTAACCTGCCAGCGCGATAGCAGCAATATTTTCCCCAGTGTAAATCAAAGTATCTTTCCATTATAGTTTCACAGCTATGTGTTCAGAAATTAACCACTTAAAAGGTTACCATATAAGTAGTTATACAGTGCAGACCCTGATACAGTGTGAGAATCTCCAAGACTACTAAAGACTATGTCTTGTGCTCTATAGTAAAGACTCTTATCCTCTGTGTTTTATGATTTGGGGTCTGAACACAACATGAAGCTATGTGATAACTTATTTAATTCCGCGACTAGTGCTTTTCAGAAGAAAGTTCTTGTCTTTATAATGTAAAACACATAAGGAAGACAGGAAAAATATAGCTCACTAAAAGATGTATTTGACTAAACTTTTATTAAAACATTTCTTTCAAAAAAAAAAAAACAACAAAGCCTCTCTTCTGGATATATTTTCATGGCAAAATTACATGTGATAGGGTACAGAATGTAGTGTATTGACAGATGCCTAGAAATATATTTTTCACTGTCTTCTCTCTTTTCAACTGAAAGTTAAACTCTCAATTACTCTTGACAGTTATGGATGTAAGAGTGCAAACTAAAACCAGAACCAACTGATACTTATCCTTGACTGCCAGTTTTTTTTTTCATTTCTTATGATCAATCTTTCTCCACCATTATGTCCACGTATAGGAGCCCAATACAGAGCATATGGAAGCCAACACTCCATGAGGTTTAATATTCTTCAACAAATAGGCAGAATACAAGTGGTTAGTTTTCTGGTGGAAGATTTAATTCTTTAACACAGAGTAAACAGATTCATGCATTTTAGTACGAAGGATACTATTAATCAAAGCTGACTTGCAGACCAATACAGTGAATTACAATTATATGACTCTTTCATGCTCTAACACTTCTTTCTCTGCTACTTTCCTGCCATTTGAAGAGGGGAGAAGAGCTAAACTGGAGCCTTCCTTTTAGCACCTTACTTTAAAAACTATAAGGTACTTCATCTCACAAACTCCATAGTACTACTATTGCCAGGAAGATCTACTCTTGAAGCTGACAATTCCATGCACCTAAAAAAAGCACAGCTTGGTACCTGAAACATATGTATCAGAACACTGAGATGAATTCTGACAAAGAAGCAGGAAAGCAGCCAGGAATAAACACACCTCAGTAAGATTTCCACCTGTGGGAAACATTTATGAGTTGTAACTGCAAAAATCTATTTGAACTCCTACAAAGTTAGAGTTTGTAATGAAACAGGTAAACCAAAAACACTAGACAGTGATTTTGAAAGAAACTTCTTTCCCTGGGCACTTCTTTCTTACCAGTTGAAAAACTAAATGTTCCCAATCACAGAACTTGAGGCAATTAATGCTTTAGCTTTTATATCAAAAATCTGTGTATAAAATCCATCACTCTTTATCCAGACCTAGAATTGTTGTCATTGCTGCTGTCCTTAAGGATCTAGAAAACACTTGAAAAATCAATAAAATGTGAAATTCTTATTAAGGCTTTAATTTATTGCTTTAATTTTCTCTACAGTTTCAGGGATGTCACATAGAGAAGCTATTTCCTATTTTGTCTTTTTGTTGTTGTTGCCTATTTGTTTGCATACAGGAAATCACTATTGCATTTAGAGGAGGTTTTTTGCATCTAATTATTTTAATACAAAGTATAAATCAGAAGTAACTAAGACCTCTTGTCTGCAAAGCCAGTATTGTGTTATATAACACAGTCAGAGCCCATATATATATGTGTATCTACCTTCTGACCACATCTGTTGTTTGGTGTACAGGATCTTTTGACAGTATGTTGTAATACTTTTCCTTCATCTGTTCCACCCACTCTTTGCACCATAGTGAAGCTGAAGCTTCAAAGCTTAGTATACAACACCAAAATCCACAAGGGATACAGAAAGCAAGGGCTACAGTTTGCATATCCTAAAATATTCCTTAAAAAAATTCATAATGGACTATATGAGACACAAGTCATGAGGCACAACACCTATTTGATTACAGTGTTACAGCAGAGCCAGAACTCCCATTGTTTAACTAAATTTTAAAAAATTCTACAAGAAATTTTAAAAGAACTTGCACATACGAGGTATTTTTTAAGACTTGGAACACTTGCACGTTTTAAACCAAGTTTGGTGAAATTTCTTCTGAGTTTTCAGTTCTGTGTTGTAAAAGTACCTTGGAAATATACTATTGCCATTGCAATGTCATTTACTTGAGAAGTTAGATGCAAGAAAATATGTTATTAATAAATCTTCATCATTGCAGAATACATAACTTACACTTCTATATACTAATAGTTTTGGGAAAGGTGATTTTAACTTCCATTTTACACTAATTTTTCTAATAGTGCTCAGCTGTAACAGCATAACAGCAAGTGAAAGATTTTCCTGCTCCCTCAAATGCAGTTTCATCACTGTTTTGCTAGAAACTGTGCCAGATTCATTTTCAACTGGCTATAAAAATCAAAACCATGCCAGCATTCAGAACAGCTTGTCCTCTTATATATTCCCTCTCCTATTCACATTTCCTTTTATCTATATAAAAAATACTTACTGGTTCCTTGCATGCCAGGTGTATTTATGAGAACCAAAAAAATAGTGTTAGTTGTTTGTATATTTAAACTAGTACATAAGTTATCTCAAAACCTTCACATTCAAACACATAGACTGGTAAAATATTTCTTTTTCAAATCAAGACTGGCTTGGTCAGCTCAACTTTTTTATTGAAGGAGTCAAAATGTCCTGATGATCTAAACTTCTTAGGAAAAATATGTATTGGTTTTATTCCTACATCTGTCATGTATCACTGTAAACTTTGTGTGAATATTGCCTGTATACATAATCAATTTTATATAATGTAACTTATACAATGGGAATGAGTATTACTTACAGATGTGGTACAAAAATATCCATCTGGCTTTTATTTTCTCACCTTTTCCTTTACAACAAGGGCATTTAGAGCTCTCAGCAAATGAGAGAAGTAAAACATTTATACTACTTGGTTCACAGCTGATCTCCCTAAAGGGATGATTATAAAGAGGTAGCACAAAGCAGTCTGCTTCTCAGCTACAACTTCACCTGTGGCTACGTAGTACTTCTTAAAGAGGACTATATCTCAAACAGATGCATGAGCAGTTAGTTAAGCCTCTTTAAAAGTGGTGCTAAAATCTACCACCAACACAGTGAAAGCATACTCTTAAAACTCTATGCTTCATGACTATCACAAATTATTAAAATAACATGATCCTCTTTGTATTTTGTAAAATTTGTGTTCACTATAATTAACTCAATTTCTTCCTTGTTTTATGTACTTGATGGCTCCAGGTTTCATGCTCAAAATGTACTTTTCATTCTATCTCTGCCTTTCAAAGGCTACTGTAATAAAATTTGTTTCATCAAAGCATGTCTGTTATAACACCTCTTGGAAAGAAAGCATTTGCCATTCATGTTTCTAAAGGAAAGGAAAACAGTATTTTCAAATCATATTGTTTCCAAAATATTTGAAAAGGAGTCACAGAAGAGGCACTTATTTCATCTATGGTAGTCAAAAAGGCTTTAATTTGAGATGTCATTTTCGACAAGGCATTAGTTGAAAAAGAAAGATAACTATAAAAAAGCACATGCACTTCAAATGCTTTAAGTGATGGGTGAACCCTATCCAATCCTATGAGAGCACCTTGTGTCACTGTAACTTGTTCTCTTGGTACCTCAAGATTAGGTCAAAGAAAGTAAGCCCCTGCCCAAAAGCTTACATGAAATTTCTTATAGATGTTTCTTGAAGAAATCAAAACAGAGAAGAGAAGAGAAGAGAAGAGAAGAGAAGAGAAGAGAAGAGAAGAGAAGAGAAGAGAAGAGAAGAGAAGAGAAGAGAAGAGAAGAGAAGAGAAGAGAAGAGAAGAGAAGAGAAGAGAAGAGAAGAGAAGAGAAGAGAAGAGAAGAGAAGAGAAGAGAAGAGAAGAGAAGAGAAGAGAAGAGAAGAGAACTTTGAAAAATTTAAACATAAGTAGATGTGAATGTACTTGACACACCAGTAAGTTCAAATATAAGATAGCATTGTTACTACAAACGCATGGTACACTGGCACATAGGAAACATTTATTGTAAATTAGGGTGTCTAATAAAAAATTGAAGGAAATAAGATGCATGTATCACATACATAAAGGAGCTCATAGTTTAGTAATGGAGAGTCAAAACTCAGTTTCCTTTTTTCTCAAGATGTTTTGCAGTACAAATTCTGCTCTATTTTGAGCAGAAACCATTTTCCTGAATACTTAAGTGAAAAACCTCAAACATTCATCTTATAACCTCTTTTCTTCTTCCAGCCACCTCTACCATTACCTTTTGCTCTCAAAACTTCCCCCTCAGTAACTTTCATATTATGTCAATAAGTTACTCTTTTCCTGAAGGGCTCTCTCCTGGGCTTTTTGCACCTCTTTCATTGTAGGGATTGCTTTTTCACATTCTCCATGTTTCAAGCTCTTAAGTTTCCTATTGACAGCTGCTCTCTTTTGGGTTAGAAGCTGTACTTGCAGAGGTAATATAAGGTATCAACAAACAGATGTTTGACAGGTTATCACATGATTATTTAAAAAGGACTCTGGCTTTCAGTTCATGAATAACAGCCAAAGGACTCTAGTCTTGGAAGCCAAACTATTACAGTAACACAACAATTAGATAAAATATTAGCACAATTATTATTCAACTGTGTCCTATTGGTTTTTTAATAATAAAACATATAATGCCTTATCATGGCTAAATTTCAACTCTTTGTCACAAAAGAAGAAACAGGGAAGTGATACAAAATTTTTCTTGTCCTGTCAGTTCACACAAATATGTTTATACAAGTGCAGTTCACATACATATGTTTATACAAGTACAGAATTTAAAGTTTGATTACTCTAGGTTCTGTTTTAAAGGTACCCTGAAACTCAGTTAGTGTTTGCAGCTCAATTTTGAATTCTGTGATTGAAGATCAGGATAAAAATACTGGAGATTATTAATTATTAATAAATCAGTGAAATTAGGGAATAAAAATGTGCTGAGGATTTCCCGGTTACTCTTACAATGACTTACATACTAGTTGCCTATACAATTTCTACCAAATAAACTCTCCGTAAGCTTGAGACATCACAAATACTTTAGCTAAGGAATGAATGTCCCCTAAAATTCTCAATTATATCTTAATGTTGGAGATCATCTACCTCTTTCCCAAGCAATGCTGCATTAAAAATAGTTGGATATGTCCTCAGCAGATACATCTAGGATTTTCACCTTTCCTAACAGAAAAAATTGCTCCTGTTGTGGGCAGATTACACCTGTGGGATTTTCCCAGACAAAGGGAGAGAGATGGGATGTATGGCAAACCAGGAACATTGTCTTTCAGCAAATGTATTTCCATTTGTACTAGGAATTTCTTGTTCTGAGAGCAAGTTCATTACTGCCCCAGGTTTTCTCTTTCTTGCAACATCTGTTGTTTCTTGGGTAAAATTCTCTGTGTCATATCACCATAGCTGGGATGAATATGAAAGAAGCTAGGAGTGAGCCATGGAGCTGCAGGACCCATGATCCCAGCACTGGAGTCTTCTATGTGACAGTGCAGCCTCTCGTATTCCCTGAACCAACTACAAATGCCGAAACCTTCTCTGCAAGGCAGGTGTTCCATTGTTAGGTAGTCAGAAGGCTCCATGGGGCTGTCATGGAAAAGGGAAGGTGTTGTGGATTCACCACATCCAGCAAACAAACCCCACACACCTTCACACTCACTCCCCCACCAGGACTGGGGGAGAATCAGAAGAGTAAAATGAGAAAATTTGTAATTTGAGCCAAAGACAATATATTAGGAAACCAAATGCTGCACACACAAGAAAAATAATAATAAAACAGGTAAATGTAAAAATAGTAAAATAAATTCATTCACCACTTCACATAGACTGGTAAGTGTTCAGCCATCTCCAGAAAAAATGTGTTCCATCATGCATAATAATTACTAGCAATGTAAGCTCCATAATTTCAAACATTCCTCAGTTCTTCTCTGTTCTCCCCAAGTCAATGTCATACATTCTGGAATACTCCTTCGGTCAGCTGGGGTCACCTTCCTAGCTGTGTCTCCTCCCAGCTTCCCATGCACTTCCTCACTAGGTTGTCAATCCGAAAAGCAGAAAAGGCTTTGGCTCTGTGTAATATGCTCAGCAATAACTAAAACATCTGTATATTATCAACCCTGTGTTTACTACAAACCCAAACCCCAGGACTTCAGCATATCAGAAAATATTAATACAGCATTTAACAAGCTGCTGAAAGTAATGAGGACTGACTGAGAACTACATGAAAGGCAATGTGTCTTTGCTTGAAAGACTCACCAAAAGGGGAATTCCTATCAAAATTTTCAAGAACTTTTATTGTGTTTTTAAAAACCTTACAGTTTACCTGAGAAGATGGGCTTTTTTCAGTCAAAGTGTATCAGAATGCTGAGAGTGCACAATACCAAGACTGACAGCAGCAGAGTATATATTTATGATGTATTGGCACATCTCCCTGCTGATTGTGTCAATGATGTTTCTGGCTTTACATCACAGGCAGGACAGGTAGATTTAGAGTTTCAGAAAGAGTGTCTGACCACCAGCTGACAGCATAGAAGAACAGCAATCCCTGCAGATACAATGTTTTCTTCAAAACAAAATAAATGAAAGCTGAAGTCAAATACTTGTAAAAAAAAAGGAAGCTGAAGGGGACATTGTGGGAGTGGGAGTGTTAAACTGAATATTAATGTAGCTGAAAATACCTTCAGTGTGTTCTGGAAGATAGTTTGCTTTCCAAGTATTCCTTCTTACATCCTAGCTTAGAGGGTGGTTTATCCCAGGAATGGGGTAGTGGACAAAGCATCTGAGTCAAAATGGAGTGAGTTGTCACAGATTTAGAAAAATTGTCAGTGGTCTAAACCAGACTGAAGAGATTGTACCAGCTTCTGATGTCTCTGCAAAACAGTTAGTCTAAAATTACACAACATTTTTTTTCAAGATTCCATGCAGAAAGTGACAATAAGAATTCCTCTGCAGTTGCAAGTTTTTTTGAGTCATACTTATGCAAGGTTTGTAGGCTCTACTGGCTAAGTGTATCTGCTAAAGAGAGGTAATCCCATTTTGAGGATTTTTATATATATCTAAACAGATGAGAATAATTAATTACTGATAAGTAATATTCTTTGCTACTTTCTGACATCCTTTGCACTGGATACAAAGTCAGGTTACTGCTTGGCCTAATAGAAAATAAAATTTTGAACCTGTGTTTCATCTGGTTGCCAGAAGATTGCGGTGAGTACCTGCCACGACCTCGGGCAGATGGGATGAGCTGGCTAGCATTGCCCGTGTGAGGCCGTGTGGCCACCATGAGATAGCACACCTCAGGGGAACAGTGTCTGCCAACCTGGTGGTGCTGAGTGCTGCGGCGTGGGTTACACAGCTTTGGTAGTTCCACACGCTGAGAGGAGGTGAAGGGATGAGAGAGGGACACTTGTCTGCGAGCCCAAAGAGTCTTTATTACTCCAGGTGTGGCAAGAACAAAGGTGCTCTTTGAGTGGGTGCAGGAACAAATGTCAGGGAAATGAAAGGTTACAGCAACTTAAATAGGGAGCAGGCGGACAGGGGTGTAAACCTGTTTCACCCAGTGAGGATACACCAGAGAGGGACGAGAGCAATTATAAAAACCAATGATAACATAACAGGGGTGGGCACAAAGTCAGGGGACAAATAGAAAAGCTAAACTGGGGTGATTGATACGGAAATTTCTCGAAGAAACTGGGGCTGTTTACAGGATTGACAACCAAAAGGGTGTGAACAAACTCTGATTGATGGAACCAAATAAGGAGAAATCAGGGAGAGGTGATAAGATTGGCAGAGAACTGGGGAGCCAAGAGGTGGGAATTTTTGGGGTAAACAACTTGGATGAAACCAACTGTGAGGGGACAAATGGAGGAGTACAAAGGATAACTAACATTAGTAAAAACAACTGACTAAATAAAACCACACCGCAACAGAAGATGTAGCTGGAATTTAACCTCCTTTAGACCTTTTCATATTAAATAGACTATGAGGAACCATAAATACCTATTAGCATACCCATTAGTCATTCAGTGTCTATCTGTTTCTGACATGTAATAACCTTTACTTCTCCTGGTTATATAATTCCCCAGTAAGTTATACTACCTTTGAGAAAATGACAGAGGCTAACAAACGAATCATGTCTTTCTTCTTTGTCTTTTCTTTGAGATTTTCCCCAAACTGAAATGAACTAATTTACTAGGTTGAAGGGTTCTAAAGTATCTTTGTTCCACATGAGAAATATGAAGTTGCCTTCCTGCAGTAAGGACTCCACTGAAGCACATACTCTCTCACCTAAGAACAAATCTTATTCTCCTGGATGGTCCTGCAAGTGTCCTTTATCACGGTCACTTCTGAATGAAGGGAAAAGCTCCTGCTCTGACATCTTCTGGCTACTCTGGCCAAGATGAACTCTTCACACATACTAGAAATACATTACTTTGTCATTTCAGGCTCATATATCTGAAGAGAAACTGTCAGACATAATGCAGGTCTGAGATTAACTAAAGGCAGACAGCAATTACGGGAGAGCTGAAAATAGATGTGTCATGCAACAGCCATTGCTATCTGAAAGACAATGTCCACTCCTCGTTTATCTCTTTCATATAGACTCACACACACACACACACACACACACACACACACACACACACACACAGATATATATTTTGGCAGATGTGATTGAAGGTTTGAAGGTCCTGGTATCAGAAGAAAATAATTGCTGGATTTCCTACATTCCCAGAATTTAGTTCAAGTCATGTACAGTAAAGTTCACATGCGTGGTCTCTAAATTCATTCTGGAATTATCTTTTCATCATGATGTTTGGATAGACCTGATCAAGGCTATGTACATGTTCAAAACCAGATCATGACAGAGAATACCAGAAGTATCTCACACTGGAGACTGTTCTTCATCTATTCCCTGACCTTAAACATAGCCTTTTATTTTGTTAGCTAAAGGTAGAGCTCAAACTTGTTAGCTCTTCATCACAGAAGATATTTTCATTGTAATTTATTCAAAACAGGGACAAGGAGGTGCAGATCTGTATAGTGAAGAGTGGCATTTGAGAACAGGTTTTGACCAAGTATTTAAAATCCCAGTCTCAGGCCAAGTTGAAAGCTTTTTTTATCCTTCATGAATGAAGTTCAGGATGTGTATAATTCCTCCCCAAACTCTTTTTTCTATTTTGTAACTTTCCACAAATCTTTATTTCAGCACCTCAACTTTAAGATTCTATCACAGTTAACATAATTGGAAAACATCAGATGGAAAGCATGTAGCATGTGTTATCAGTGTTAAAGGTTTGTTGAAGGGTCTATTCCCCTTTACACAATTTTTTATGCCTTAAGCCAAGATGTTTTAACAGAATTAAAAATTAAGCTATAATTAAGATAAATTATTTTGTTCTAGACAGAAGACTTTGAACTAGTTTTCTTAATCCTGAGAAACTGTTCTGTATAGTATATTCCAATCATTTTTCAAGGCAGCTCATGTTATATGAAACAAAACGAAACATTATTTTCTTTAAAAATATTCATATTACGTATTGTCTTTTCTAATGGAATTTCAGCTTTATTGTTTTTGTTACTAGAGCAATATATTTATATCTAGTGATCAGCTACAGAATTATCTAATTAACATGTATTTAAAATTCTTTTATTTACTCTTCAGGCCCAAAACCAGTTGGTGTGTATAAACACACCAAAAAAGGGAAAATTTAAATCAGAAGTTTAGTTTTTAAATCAGTTAAAGAAAAAAAAAAAAAGAAAAAAAATCAGAAATCATTTTTAAAAACCCCAACTAAATCCTCTTTCACTAAAAATCACTGGCCTTTTTTTAGTATACCAAAGTTATTATACTCTGCTTGTCAACATTACAAATATTGCTTTTATATCTGAGCATACAAGATTGTCATCCTCATGTCTAAGAAGTCATCTTGGATTTTCCTCCCTGCTTTCTGCCATTTTCCTGATTTATCTGCTCACCTCTCTGAGCTACTTTAGAGAAGAGAGCGAAAAAAAAGACGTGCTGAAATGAAGAAATTAACAGAAGGAAAAAAATGAAAAAAAAAATTAAAACCAAAACAAAAACCAACCAAACAAACCACAAAGAAGAAAACAAAAACAAAAACAAAAACAAAAACAAAAACAAAAACAAAAACCAAAAACCAAACCAAAAACAAAAACAAAACAACAAAAAAAAGACAAAGACAAAAACAAAAACAAAAGCAAAAGAAAGAAAGAACAAAAGCGAGCATTTGTGAGCCAGAAGAATGATTACATTCCACTTTCAGTTTGGGCAGGTTACATGCTTCATAACAAAGGTTAGTTTCATAACCTTTCCTCTAAATAAGCTTGACTGTGTGTAAAATAGAGGCATATGAAAGTACTGTGAGTATTATTATAATTTACTGACATGTATAGAACACTTTGAGATAAATAATTAGGTATATTCCAAAGAAAATATGAACTAATGTCAAATACTTCATACCCATTCTGCACGTCGATGGCTCCTTGAAATACTTTGTCTAAAACACACATTGAACAGACAGCTGAAGTACAGATAAGACATAGAAAAAATGAAGATCTTTATAATGTTCGCAATGACAGGGTATATGAATGTGTCTTGGATGGAATTAAGGAGAATAGTAAAAAATCAAGTCTGTTGTAAATTGATTCATTAGTACTTAGAAAAATTTCTGTGGTTTACATCCATCAAAAATATTAAATACCACTCCAAAGAGACATTTGAGAGCATTTGAGTATTTTCAGAAGCACAACACTTTCCATGTGAATAAGAGATTTTCTATTGCTTTCGATCTTTGTGCAAAACAAATATCTATACTTCCTTGTGACAAATAGAACAGTTAAAGATAGCGTGACATATCTGACCTTTGTTTCTTACTGCTTCTTTGCTAATGTAAACCTTTAGGCAATCGATGCAGGCTCTGCAATCAAGTCTGCATTGGTTTTATTCTGTTTTCTAAATATAATCCTTTGTGGCAAGAATATCAGCCATAAGTTTAAGAGTTACAATTGTTAGGAAAAGTTTCTCTTTCAAATAAATTCCATACTTTTATTGCATCTCTTCATAGGTGTTTGCGAAAAGCATCTCCGAGGGAGCCCCCTTACAACCTATGTCAACCCCTAAAGGTAATCAACATTATCCAGCATGAGTGCTGAGAGAATGCTGCACCTGACATTTCACAGAGCTGTGGGTGTTGTCTTTCTTATTTTACAGAAATTCATAGTACAAAAGAGAAAGATAAGTAAAAAATTTTTAACATTGCTTCTCTTTTTCTTACCTTTCCACTGACTGCCTGTACTTTACATATTCCAGAACACTCCCTAAAAAAGTTCAAATTAATAGTACAAAAAAAAAGGAAGTCAAGCATCTTGTATCTTTCATTGGAACTGTTTTGCTTCAGCCTCCCTCAATTCCAGACTGTCTTAAGATGATTTCCTAATATTTATCTTCCCATTCTATTTTGAAAACTATCTTTATATAATTCAAAGAGAAGAGGAGGAAAAAAAGATTATATAAAGATTAATCTATCTAGACAAAAAGTCTTTACTCTGGTTTCTCCCAGTTTTGGGATCAGAGGGTTCCCATTCAGCCCCAGAAAAGGAAAAAGTAGGAAAGGATGGCCAGATTTTCCACATGCTGATTTAACTGCTCATTACAAGTACTTGATCATGTTTTGTGACATAATATTACAATCCCATGACAAAATTCTATAATAGTCCTGTCTTACATTATATTAACTATAGTAGTAAAATAACAACACACACAAAGATGACTATTATAATTATAAAATTAACTATAATAATAAAATTATATCATGAATAGCTACATAAGGAAGTTATTTTCCCCAAGAATTGTGAGAAATCTTCCTAAGAATTATCTTGCCTTTTGAAATATAGCAGTAAAAAGAGCTGTGTGATGGCATTTAAGGAAAAGGTCAAAGAAAATGGAGGTTTTTTTGTGATCTTTAAGTTACCACTATGCTAAATTTAAATCTCTTCAGGAGAACTGATTACAGATCCTTTAATAAAAGAAAAATAAATTCTCTTTTTGAGAGAGAAAGAAGGTGGGTTCAGAGCACCAACTTTTTGTTTTACCCACTGAGGACCAGCAGTTTTATAGAAAATTTAGTTAGAATTAAAAAATACTACAATCCTGTGAGATAAGTGAGATAACAAATTCTGAGATAAAAACATGTGAGCATTTGCAAAGGAATTATTCTTAATATACAGCAAAATCCTTGAACTCTGGGGATATTTCCATTTGCTTTTAACTGGTTTGGTTCTTTGAAACATTTTTTCAAATGAATTTGAGCTATTGTGAATAAACCAGTAAAGAAGGAAATATTTTTCTCAATTTTTACTGCCATTTGTTTCATAAAATTACTGTACCAGGTCTTTCTTTTCAGGATAATTTCATGGCTTTCTGTACCTCATCAGAACAAATAAGAAAGGTGTACATTTGTTTTAATTATGTTGAGATTAGGGTTCAATGAAATAGAAAATAGGAAAAAAGAGTGGGATATGAAAATGTTACTTGAACAACTACATTTTAACTGTAAAATAAATAGAGCAGCCATTCAAGCAAAGTAAAGTACTCAGTAAAAATCTTCAAACCATGAATATTTTAAATCAAGGTAATATATTAAAAAAAAAAAAAAAGAAAATGGAAAGATGAATGTCTTGGTTTGAAAGACAGGCGTCTCCTAAGGAAGACAGGAGCCTCCCTTGGAATGGAGAATGTAAAGCCCTTCCCTCTGAATTATTATAAGTTTGAAGTTAAGGGGCCCTCAGGCAAAAGGACATGAGACTAGGAATAGCAGTTCATTGCTAGTGTGTGTGACAAAGCAAACAAACACCAGCATTGCGTTAACGCCAGTCGGGGCCCGGACCCGCACCCGCACCCGGACCCGGACCCAGACCCGGACCCGGACCCGGACCCGGACCCGCACCCGGACCCGGACCCGGACCCGCACCCGCACCCGGACCCGCACCCGGACCCGGACCCGCACCCGGACCCGGACCCGCACCCGCACCCGGACCCGGACCCGGACCCGGACCCGGACCCGGACCCGGACCCGGACCCGCACCCGGACCCGCACCCGGACCCGGACCCGGACGCGGACCCGGACCCGGACCCGCACCCGGACCCGCACCCGGACCCGGACCCGCACCCGGACCCGGACCCGGACCCGGACCCGGACCCGAACCGCACCCGGACCCGGACCCGCACCCGGACCTGGACCCGGACCCGCACCCGGACCCGGACCCGCACCCGGACCCGGACCCGAACCGCACCCGGACCCGGACCCGGACCCGCACCCGGCCGCGGCCGCCTCGGCCCTGCGCGCTCCCCTGTGCTGCAGTTCCGGGCGCGGCCGGCAGGGGCGCTGCTCCCGGCGGGCGGGGCAGGCGCGGGGACTCCCCGCGGCCGCGGGGGCGCTGTGGGCGGGCTCGGGCAGCGCGCGGCGATGGCGGCCGGGGCCGGGCGGGCGGGGATGGAGGAGCGGCTGCGCCTCACCAGCCTGGGGCGGCCGGTCCTGGTGCCGAGCAGCACTTGGGAGCACCGAGCTGGGACGGCAGGACGACTCGGCAAGCGGAGGTGTGGAGCTACAGTGAAAGCCCAGGGCAGTGCCGAAGAAGCGATGGGGGCGGGACAATGGCAGCCTGGGTCCCAGCAGGGCAGGGGAGGCGAGCTCATAATTCCAGGGCAGGCGGGGATGGGTACCTCTTTTAGGGAGGTCGGTGTAAATGAGTTCCCAGTTCTGTGGCTGCTCCCATAGCAGAGCCTCACGCCACAGCAGAAGAAGCAGCTCTGGGCTGGGCTCCAGTGGCAGCAGCAAATTCCCAGCCCATCCTTTACCTGTCCCTTTCGGTATCTCTGCCCTCTGGGGAGAAACTCCCAGCATCACAGAAGTGTGACCAGATACCGTCCGTCCCCCTGAGCTCAGCCACTTGTTTGTTTTCCTTAAGAACCTAGTTGTTAGTGTTTCCTAGCAACTTATAGGGAAAAAAAATTCCCTAAGTGAAAGAGAACAAAATGAAAGAAATCTCACCCTAACAATTAATTTGAAAGTCTATTTTTAAAGTAAGATGGAAGGTCTGACCCTCTATTTGATTTTTTCCATTTTTTTTTTTTAAATAGGAGTTTTGTAAGAAGTTACACTTAGTGCAACCGGCTGCCTTGTGCATATAGGATAGAAATTAATGAATTTCAAACCTATATGCTATGTTGATTTTGTTTTTTTTTTCATTGTTTTAAGGTTTAGGGGGTGGTGGTCATTTTGCCTTGTTTATTTGCCTTTTTGGGGTATTTTTACCACTTAAATATTGAAATATAACACCAAGGCTCCAGCATATGTTGCTTTAAGAAAGCAATATCAACTTCTCTAAATTCATGGATAGAAACAGTACCAGAGTGATCATAGCTCTGATTCTGGTACATTCTTTTATTGTCTGTGATTATCACAGTAGTGATAATATAGAGTAAGAATTTTGCACAGTGTCATAAAATCATAGAATGGCATGAGTTAAACATTATCTAGTCTGAAAATCCCTGCAATTTCCTCATCCTATTCATCTGGCAACATTTGTTGCCAGCCTTGAAGCATTTGTTGCCTTCAAGCCTAGCCTTGAACACTTTCAGGAATGGGGCCCACACCGCTTCTCTGGGCAGTGGGTTCCAGTCCCTCTCTACCCTCACAGCGATAAATTTCTTCCTAACATCTAGTCTAAACCTCTCTTCTTTTAGTGTAAAATTGTTTCCCCTAGTTCTATCACTATCTCCCCATGTAAAACTCACTCTCCATCTTTGTTATGGCTCTCCTTTTAATACTGACAGGCCACAGTGATGTGTCCCTGGACCTTCTACAGGGAGAACAGCCCAACTTTCTCATCCTGTCTTCATAGGAGAGGTGCTCAATCATTCTGGTCATCTTTGTAGCTCTCCTCTGGATCCTCTGTGTCCTTCCTGTGCTGGGACCCCAGAGCTGGGTGCAGGGTTCCAGGTGGGCTCTCACCAGAGCAGAGCAGAGGGGCAGAATCCACTCCCTCCCCTTCTGGCCATACTGCTTTGGATGCAGCCCAGGATACAATTGGCTTTCTGGGCTGTGAGCACACAATGTTGGCTCATGTCCAGCTTTTAATTCCTGAGAACCCTCAATTCCTTTGTAGCAAGGTGCTTTCAGTGACTTTTTCCAGTCTTGCACTCATACCTGGCATTGTTCCAACCCAGGATGAACAACTTGCACCTGTGTTGCAGTGTGTGTTGCAACTGGGTTCATTGCATCCAGGGAGGGTGCAGCTGCCAGTGCCGGGTGTAGGAATAAACAAGACAGGTCTTTGTTTCAGAAAGCTGGAGAATCCATTTATTATCCCCAGGGAGGAGGGGTGGGATGGAGAGAAAAGACCAGGCAAAGGCAGGGTCTTGGGGTTTTTATAAGGTATCACAGGGGTGGAGTTAGGGTTTGAGTCAAGGGAGGAGTTATTAGTAACACAAATCACATTCCTGTCTCTTAGGAGCAGGGGCATTTCCACACACCTGGCATTGTTGAAGTTCATTACATTCTTGTTGACCCACTTCTCAGGGATGTCCAGGTCCCCCTTGATGTCATCCCTTCCTTTTCTTGTATTAACTGCACCACTCAGGTTCGTGTCCTCTGCAAATTTGCTGAGGGTGGACTCAATCTCACTATCTTATTCATAAAGGTATTAAAAAGCATCATTTCAAGGCAGAACCCATCATCATTACTTTCCACTTTGCAATTCCTGTTCTTAAAATTTAACTGTGCTTAAATTTAACTGTGCTTCTGCTGCATTCACTTATTTATTCTCCTTAACCAGGTCTAATATGTCAGTTCTAGCTCAGGGAACAGGTAATATTCATACAATTATAGAATCACAGAACAGGCCAAATTGGAAGAGATCTCAAAAGGTCATCTGATCAAACATTTTGTGGCAAAGAAAGGATGGATGACATTTTCTAGTATGCTTTCCATTTGCATCTTGCAAACTTCCAGTAGTAGGGACTCTGCCACATGCCTTGGAAGGTTCTTTCAGGGAATGATTGTTCTTACTGTAAAATATTTCCTTTTTATGATGAGTTGAAGTGTCTCCTGAGACAAGCTGTATTGAGACTTGTCTTCTCCACATGGTTCCTTGTGTAGAAGGAGCCTTTGACCTCTTTGTAGCTGTGTCTTATAAACTGGAATACTATGCTGAGCTTCCACTAAGTTTACTAGACTCTAGGGAGAAGAGATGAGGCTCCTTCCGTCTTTCCTTATAGAATATATTTTATGGACTTTTGATTACCTTTATGGCCTACCCTTGGACGTGCATTCTGTCTTTGTCTTCCCTGAATTATGAGAACCAGAACTGGAGACAGTGCTCCAAATGCAGCCTGAAAAGCACTGAGGGGAGTGGGATGAACACATCTCTATTTCTGCTTATAATGTCCCTCTGGATGCAGAGCAGGATCTGACTTCCCTTTGTTGTTGCTGTGGCATGCTGCTGACTAATATTCAGCTTGATGCCTGTGATTCATCAGGATGCCTGTGTCCCAGTCAGTAATACTGCTTTCCAGCCACACAGCTCCTACTTTGTACTGGGCTCTTTATCTTCTTTTTCCCAGCCTCAAGATGCTTCACTTGTCTTTGCTAAACTTCATACAGTTTTTGTTAGCCCCCTCTTCCAACTTGTCCAGGTCTATGTGTAAGATAATTCATCCTTCAGATATGTCTATCCCACCAGTCACTTTAGTGTCATCAGTAAACTTGCTGAAGATGCTTTCATTTTCATCATCCAGATCATGTATGAATTTACCCCCCCATCTCCTAGGCCAAACATCTGATCTGTAATTTGACAGTTTTTCCAGTTAAGACTGTGGGAAAGTGCACCAAATGCTTTGCTGGGGTCCACGTAAACTAATTCATCCAGTACTGTCCCTGTGTCCATGCAAGATATTATTTTGTGGTAGAAGGTGATCTACAATACCCATATCTAAATACATGCTGGTATTTCTCCATCAAGGCCTTTGGTTTTGTTTGCAATAGTTTTTAGAAGAACACATTTCATTACTTTCCCAGGGACTGCCATAAAACCAATGAGTCTATAATTTCCTGAGTCCCCTTTTTTGTGCTTCTTGTAGATTGATGTGACATTTGTCCCCTGGTCATCGAGTTATCAAAATTAAATAACTAATCTTAGGACTTTCCTAAATTTCCACGGTGTATAAATTGGACTCATTTGTGTATCAGCATTCTTCTTAGGTTTCGAGGCTTGATGCACACTTGGGCAGGGGATGAAGACTGTTTAAACAGCCCAGCCCACAGGCAAGTAAGTAAAGTGACTTTGTTCAATATTTTCTGTTTGACTGTTATTGAACCAGTATAAAATGCTGTCCTAGTTTAGGGCAAATTTGAGAGAAAAACGTCTGGGAGGAGCCCCTAGAAAATAAACCCCTATGGCCCCTCCCCACCCACCTGGTTCGGGAAGAATTTTCTCAGGGAGAAGTGGAAAAGAGCCTATTTATTTAACAAACAAAACCCTTCCCAGCACCAAAAAAATGAGCAACACCAGATGACAACAAAACTCTTTCACCACTCTGAAGAGATGACAAATCCAGAAGGTCTTTCCTGGGAGTGGTTGCCCGGGTCTGGATGCTGGGGATTGCTCTCCAGCCCTGGGGATGGCTGCTGCAGATCACAAAATGCAGGCTCTTGGTGTTCCTCGGTGTTTCCCAGGTCCCAGTCCGGAGCAGGTTGGAGAGACATTCAGGAAAGGGAAAGAAAAAAATAGTCCAGGGAAAAAATTGGACTGCTTAGCTAAACTAACTAAAAAGCAAAGGCAAAAGCAGAAGCAAGCAAGCAAAGCAAAGCAAAGCAAGCAAAAGCCAGCAAGCAAAGCCAAAGCAAGCCAGCCAGCACTAGCCTCTTCTAGACAACAGACCATGGAGGGAGGTGAGCTGGCTGATAACAAGACAAAAAAAATCTTCACTTTCAGAGTAAGTTCTGAAAGCACAGAACATAATATCAAACATAAACAGAACACATGACTGGTGATACCAGCATCATAACATCACCCCATGACAAATGAATTAGCAAATTAAAACTCAGTTTTGACAGGTACATCTTCCCAAACCACTGAGGCAATGAGAAACCTGAATTCTGATGTCATCTGAAAAAATGTTGCCAGATGAATACATTCCCAAATCTTCAGTGCAAAGGACTTAGGTAAACATCTATTATAAGAGTGTAGGAGTGATAGAAGATCCAGTAAATGAACAGGTTTATTGGAATTTGCTGTTTCTTTCCATGGTGAAATAACCAAAGAAGTGTCCAGAACTAGCAGGGAAAATACATATATCACACAATTTA